GTTTTTTCAGATTTTGCAGTTGCACTTTTTGCCAGTTTAAGCGACTCAACATTAAAATTTGAACAATAAGGTGACACTGATGTCAGAGAGCGAATGGACGACTGATCGCGCTAAAATACTAACAGTATGGTTGATATTCCCGCTTTAGCTGTTGTCTACATATTCCTCCACAGCTCAGCGTCCTCAAACCTCCAGCCCTAAAATAACCAGAGAATATGATCGAAAACAGTGTGTAGACCAGTGGTTCCCAACCTACGGGCCGGGGCCCACTGGTGGGCCATGAAGGTATTGCAAGTGGGCTGAAAAACAGTGCGTATACTGTGCGTAAATAATGTTTATATAAGATGTGTTTTACAACAAAATGATCTTTAAAAACATAGCAACAGGAAAAGTTAAAAGGAAAGAGTCAAAATTAAAAGAAAGCATAATTTAGACCAACATTTTTGAGATTTGAAGCGGGACACGAGTTGGAAAAGGTTGGGAATCATAGTTATATAATAATAATCATGAATTGTTGTACAGGGGTTTCTTTTCCATATATGTTTGAGTTTTACATAAAAATCTGACACAAAAGAGGAGAACAGAGAATGTACAACCATCCCCAGCCTCGCCTACATGAGTTTAGCTTAAAGAGGTTGTTTTTACCAAAGAAATGAGCTTCACTGTGAGATACAAACACACTTCCAAGTTCTAAATTAATGGCCAATTAAAACCGACATCTCAAAAATGCTTAAAACAACAGTACGTATTCTGGTTCCACAGCCGGCAGCATATAAACAAGCACAAGTAGAGAGGAGCTCACATTTAAAAGGGAGGCAACCTGAAGAGCATTGTTCAATACTGTGTGTGTGTGTGTGTGTGTGTCTGTGTGTGTGTGTGTGTGTGTGTGTGTGTGTGTACAGACAAAATCCAGGTGTATCTCACAAATGAGCCAGACTGTTCTGACTTCAGTGGCTGTCTATGTGAGTGTACTTGTCATTGTGTGTGTGTGTGTGTGTGTGTGTGTGTGTTTGTGTGTGTGTGTTTCTCAGAGATTCATTGCAGCAGCTCTCAACTGAACCCACTTTTTTTTTTTTTTCTTTTTTTTTTTCAATGACTTAAATGTCCCAGATCTGTCTTTGACTCAGCGTCATATCCGAGTGTGTTCGTTTGTGCGTGTGGTTTTACACACACACACACACACACACACACACACACACCCGTGTTTCCACTGCCTCACATTATCCTGCGAAGACATTAACATTTCATGGATGATACCGAGGTTTGTCAACTGGATCTCATCAAAATTTCATCCTTAATTACTGAATCAGTGCTGGAGGGAGATTCCCCACTCCGCAAGGTGAACTACCTGACTGAACCGAGCTGCCGGCAGGGGCGAAAAAAAAAAGAAATCAATTCCCACCAGGTTATTGCCGGTGAAAGCTGGGTGCTTGGTCATTTTAAATCACCCAAGAACACAAATAAACACTCTTAATGATCTGGAGATAAGTGTTCCCACCAGAGTCTTTGCACAAAGTCTATTGAAACTTCAGCTGAAGCTGCTAAAACCCCCGACTGAAACCTTTACAACTGAAAGTCTTTCAGGCTTGGCGGTAGCAACTTCAAGGTGCAGACTGTGTCTCTGACTAAGTCTTGAATAAATATTAAAATGACTTCAACGAGTCCTGCAGCTGAGAGACGGATCAGCAGCAAACAGACCCAGTGCTATTGTTTAGAGATTTACATTATTGTATTGGTACTTTTACTTAGACTAAGAGTTTCCCACCAATTTATCAATGCACTCCTATATCACTGTCAGACTCCCAATGGATTTGTTTTTTAAAAAAGGTGTAGAAATGGATATAGTAGAACCAGAGATCAAAACCTGGTGCCTACATTACCCACAATGCAATGTGTGTTATGCTAGTAGCAGCTAACCTAGCTCTAGCCTCAAGCAGAGATCAGGAGCAGGCTACAGAGCAGGCTCTCTCAGTCTATGCCCCCAAATTGTTTTCATTTTCTGATTTGTGTTTTTCAGCCCCAACCAACGCTGCCTCAGGTGACATCACTCGAGGAGATGTATCACTTCTTACAGCTCCCCCTGGAGACACAGCAGCTTTATACAACCTTTTCATCACATGCAGCAGCACTCCCCAACACCTGGACTCTGACTGTGACTTGTAAAATCACTGGAGTTCTTGAGGATCTAGTGGAATGCTTCTGAGTGAGTGAGATGTCTGTCATTTTTTAGTTTAGTTGGAGTTCAATATATTTCCTCCTCCTGTGTGAGGAGCCAAACTTAAAATAAAACACAGAATATTTTGTGGGTAAATTACCTTTGGAACTAGTCTGGAATAGTTGAACTTTTCTTCAGCATGTATTGATGTACATATGTGTCAGGATGTAGGTGAGGAGAGAGGGGAGGAAAATGTCACAGTGAGCAGCAGGAAACAAAACAGCATCTAAAATGTTATATAAAAAAAGTGTTTATTCCAGAAGTTAGAGTAGAGCAGTTCCCAAATGATTTCCACATTTCAGACGATCAATTATTCCTCTGATTTCATCAGCACATTGCTGACTGTAAATGCAAAATCTGCATCCAGAGGAAAGAAATACAGTAAAAACTTTACCAGAGCAGAAGTAAATTGGAATATAAGAAAAAAAAGCACAATAGATCCTATAGAGCTCTTAAGTCAGCCTTTGTTGGTTGATTACTTTGGTACGGAAATATATTTAAAAAAAAAAAGGATGATTCTCTAGCAAGTTCTGGAGTTATAAAGATCATCTTTTCTCTATGATTTCTGTGTGGATTCATGGACATTTAATCACCATGGAAACCAAAGAAAATGATATCTTTGGAAAATGGTAATACCACTGCATGTAAAAATGTGTGCATCATATCTTTGTGTTCAGATTTGAAGGAGTGCAATTTTTGTGCCTGCATTTACATTAAGAATAATAGCAGTTAATGTCTCAGTGTTAGACATTGTATTTCTCACTGAGATGTAAAAGCAATCGCCGTGTGCCATTTAATCACAGAAATCAGAGGTTAGCATTCAGAGCTTCATTCATGAGTACAGAAGTCTGATTTTGTGCATTTGATAATACACACCTCTCACCACCATTATACTAAAATGAGGTGATTGTGACTTTACCAGTCACCACACCTCAAACTCTACACTCAGATCAAAGACAGACTGCCTTGATTTCTCCAAATGACTCTTGAAATGTGGCGGTAACAATAAATGGGACTGTAATGACTACACACTTAGCACAGGGAACTTTTCCAGTCAGCAGCCCACCAGTGAGAGCACTCTGGGGATCAAACCAGTAACCATTTGATTAGCAGCCAGCCTCCCTGACTCTCTGAAGAAGAATATTCCCCTCCAACTGCAACAAGCTCCCAGTTTTGATTGCACCATAAGCATCGCGGAAATAATGTGGCTGCAATCAGAGAAGAATTTGGACTCAAGGTACCACCCTCCACCTCACACACACATACACACACACCACACACACTTTGTATGTATGATATGTAAGATGGAGCGAGACATGTAACTCAGCTTTCATTTTCAATTTGCGCTTAAAAAGTTCTCCTCATCACTTTTGCTCATTTGAGGTTTGACTGCCGCTCTTTTAATTACATCATCTTGTTGCTCCCTCTTCTTCTGCAACTGTTTAATGGCACCAGACTGAAGAATTAGCGCCACCATTTATCTGGATGCGCCCAACTCCTAATACTGACATGACATAACAGGAGTGGATAGAAAAGCACATTAATATGCTTTTTTTCTTTTGCTGATTTTCTGGGAATTTGGTTAAAATTTGCATTATCTTTTGATGGAAACTTGACAATAGACATTTTAGTAATCCAATACAAAGACACATGTAGAGGACTTGTCATTAGTTTGGATCTTTTGTTCTTTAGAGAATCGATTTTTCTAATAATGGTAAAAACATGAAAAAGCCAGATCTGAGGGAACATGCCCCTCATCTTTCCCCCTACATCTTTCTTTGTAGTCTGATTTTTGTTGATGTGTAACAATGAATAAAAGACATGAGTATGATCTCTGACAGACATTACATCATCTGATCAATCCTATGAAAACCATGTGCCGCCAGAATGTCTGCTTTTCGTGAAGAAAGACAGCCCTGTTTTCGGCTTTTTGACTATACATCTGTCACATAATATAATGAGATTTTATATTTCATTTAATAATGAAGCTATTTGTAAGTTTTGCCGTTGCTAAATAGCCAGCATTAACATTTACAGCTGAGCAGGACAGACTGGACGACTCAGTATCAGAAAGTGATGATCAGACCGGAGCTAGCTGATTAGCGTGCTAACTTTAGTACAAGAAAAAAAATGATTGAAATAGAAGCAAAACATGAGTTTGCATCTGTGTTTCTTTGCACAGCTGGAGATAGCTCTTGGAGAGTAAAGGAATGAAGTTTGATGCCGAACTCACAACGTTTCTTCTGGACTGGTAAGTAAACAGCTGTTAATGATTATTTATCAATAATTATAAGGGGGGATTTCTCACTATTTTCTGACATTTAATAAACAAAACAATAAAATGACTGAGAAATTAACGTAATGAAAATAATCAGTCATGTCAAAGTCACCAAATACTGTATGTCAGGTTGTACTTAAGGAAAATCTTACCTAAAACACTTTCATGTGATGGAATGGTGCAGCCATAAAGAAATGGAGGTGGGGTTTGAATCTTTTTACTTCAGTGTTAACATCATAAAGCTTGAATGGAGATCTATAACAAGCTGATACAGAGTGTAAGAGGTATAATACTTTTCTACTGCCTTAAAGCTACTGATGTGGGGCAGGGTGGAGGTGGGAGACACGCAGTGCTGCAGCGTGTCTAGCTTCAGCACCATGGACAGCTCCACTCCAAACCAGTAACGTCCAGCACCACGGACAGCGCCAGGTAAAGCTGAACTCTTATAAACTGAATCGTTTAATTCATGACACAAGTTTTAAACTTATTAATATGACCTAACCCTACCTCCAATGTCTGGCCGAAGCGTCTTGTCATATTCCTTCAGCAGATTGTTCAGTATCAGAGTGGCATCCTCCTGGTGCGACCTGGGAACCAGCATTTGATTGACAGTGGTATCATGGTGATCTTCATCGTCGTCGCCATATTCCAGTGGATCAGAACTGAAGGTGAGGGGGTGTGAGAGGGGGGGGGGGGGGGGGGGGGGGGGGGTGAAAAGAAGGAAGGAGGGGGTCGTTAATCATGTTAGCTCCCCTTTTATAAACACAATTATGAAAACTTTGTCGCAGCAGCATTGCCGTGAACGATTGTCAGACCTCAGACTGTGTTTGGGCACGGCAGTGTCATTTTTTTTTTTTTTTTTTGTCAGTGTGAGTGTGTGTTTGCGGAGATGTGCGGGGAAAGCCCTTAGAAAAAACATGCGTTATCAGCCAGACTCATTCACATAAAATGCGCAGTTGCCTCTACATCCTTAACTTTTAAAGCTTTAAAAGAATCGAAAACATCTTCCAGCTGTTGATCATGCGATAAAAATAAAAGGTGCGAATCAGACTCACCGAGCACCTTGAACGAGCAGAAGTATAAAGAGGATGACCACAAACTTGATTGTCATTTTCCCATGCGCGGATCACCTCTGATCACAGGAACTGGTGGATAGAGATCCCGGTGTGTGCTGCTGCCGCTGCCGCGATAAAAGTGCCAGTACAGTAGGTGTGTAACCATCAATCCGAGCTCTGAACTTCCTCATCCGCCCACACACTTTCTTCTGCGTGTCATCTGCGGCCACACAACAGCGGTCTCTCCCCCCTCGATCCTCCCTACTCCTCGCAAAAAGGGGTGGGGGAATGGGGGTGTGGGTGGGATTGGGTAGGGGGGGTTCCTCCGGGACGCACCCGACGATCAATCAATGTGATCAGCCCAGCGGAGGGGAGTCTAATCGACCGGATCCAGCAGCGCCCTCCTCCCTCTCTAACGCCTGTGTGGGCAACAGAGTGGTTGGGGTGACGCTGTCTGCTGCTGGTGCTGCTGGTGCTGCTGGTGGTGGTGGTGAACCTTAGAAGATGAGCATCTTGCGTGACTCATGCATTCACAGGTTACATACAATACCTGGATCACAACTGCATTGCATTATCTGGATGAAAAACATAAGCAAACATTTTTTATTATTTTTTTTATTTTTTACTTTCATGCTACGTCATGAGCAACAATTATTTATTTCATTACAATTGCTGCATATTTAAACATCTGCATGTGCTTTTGAAATTATTCCAGTTAATCAAACATCCCTAAACTCAAACTCATAATACTTTATCCACGTTTTCAATTTTTGAGTGCTCTACTTTGCACATCTTAAAAAAAAGTATCAAATATGATCAATAAGTCATAAATAGAACAGCAGGATATCAGTTGAATTGAATGTGTACTTGATTTTTGTTTATATTTGCTGTTCGTCTGATGATGATCGCCACTGGAAGTCATATTCAGGCGGTACACACCCCGTTTACGTACCACAGAGTCACAGCGAGCTCTGCCCCACACTCGAAATAAGTAATTTCTGTATAGGCGCACAACTCAGTGGGGCAGCCCAGTGCTCAGCCCACAGACCTGTGAGGCGTCTGAATCCACACAGCAACACACTGCGTGCAAGTCGAGAGGCTTCACTGCCCCCTGGTGGCCGAAGATGCAGCAGATGACAAACGCAGCAATGTTAGATTGTCATGGCAGTGCTGGACAATCTCGACCAGCACTGACCTAAACTAAACAAACTACAAAAAAAAAAAAAAAATGCAGCTGTCATTTATGACACTGTTAGTTATATTACTGATATACAGTGAAAAAATGGTAAAAAAAAAATACTTTATTATAAGCATTAAAACCCCCCACAATACAAATTTACATTCACTTTTTTGACTATTCTCAAATTTCTGTATTTTTATGTGAAGTATATTTGATCATTTCACCCCTTTGGCCTTCAAATTATTATGTTAACGAGACAATCTGAGAAGTTTTAAGGGGGAAATGTCTCTTTGGAGGGACTACTAACAACTCAGGCATCTGAAACATGACAAGGAGCTACAACTAGCTTTTTTGTAAGATGTCAGAAGTTGAAAAGCTTAGGAACCACTGGTTTCATGTCTTGTCATATTAATAGGATTTTTATGTACAATCTTAACTATAGTAAGTATAGCTGTGGAATAAATGTAGTGGATTAATAACTACTGTCATAAAACTGATGACTTACCTTTAAAAAAAAAAAAAAAAAAAAAAAAAAGTGAAATTATAAGTTCCCTCTCTTATGAATGATTAGATGTCTCATGCTCAATAAAATCCACAAAGTGAACACACTGTCATCTTAGCAACCCAGCGTCTTGCTCATCAAATCACGGTGAACTCAATAATGGCTTTAGATAATCCCAGTCTAAATGACATGGAAAATAAAGATTGGCAGCCTGTAACTGAAGTTCATTTATTACATTCATCTTTTCTGGGCAAAGTAATGACAGTGCTACATTCACAAAAGCAAAGGTAGGTAGAAAAAGAGACAAGCGAGAAGTAGCGCCTACATTCAATCTATGTATTGAGCTATTTTTCTATTAATGTCAACTGGGAATCATATCGATAGAATTAGAAGCTATAATCCTGATTTATGTTTCAAAATAATTCCTGAATACTGTCTTCGTTCAACCTTTTATTTGATTATTTTAAGTATAATACATAAAACAAATACAGTACATAAAACAAAGAATGAATAACACAAATACTTTGTCAAGCCCAGCTATAGCTACAATGGCTTTGCTGCATTTTTGCAAAATGTAAGCAAAGGTTTCAGTTTAATGTTTCCTCCAAAACAAAATTTAAAAAGCACTTTATTGATGCTAAGAAACAATAAAGATCTCATGCATGTGTAATGGCTGCCTAAAGCCCTCCTGGGATAGACAACTGTTGCTATCACAGCCCTGCAGTAAGCTGACTGCTGCATGTGTATTACGCTCCCTAGTTGAGAGACCCAAGTTCAAAACTTCAGTCTGCTTCACTGCCCATGAGCTAGCTGTGGATAAAGTACATATAATGAATCCTAAATTTGTCCCTAACACGCAGCAGCCACATCTGTCCAGACACTACACAGAGAAAAACAAGCATTTGTCATCGGCTGGGCCAGTCGGGGCTTAAATTGGAGTTTGCTGTAAGGGGCCCCCCTGAACGGGTGAAAGCAACTTAAGCGGAACTAAATCCCTTTTCTAACAGATGTATGGCAGATGAGTCTGTCACAGTGGCTGAAGGAAGGAGGGAGGGGTGGGCAATCGTTTCTTGGCTGGCAATAGAGAAGGGAGGGATGTTAGATGGGTGGGTGGGTGGGTGGATGGATGGATGAATGGGGGCACTCATTTTTTTTTGGATGGCAAGAAAGATGTATGTATAGAGAGGATGTGGTGCACAATGGAGATCTTCTGACATGCAATGAAATGATGGTTGTGATCTTATATCTCTCCATATTAGCAGCCTTCTCTTGTCTGTGGCTGGAAAATGTTTGGTACACATTAGTGAAAACTTTAACTCCGTTTTATTTTCCCTTTCTATCTCCACTAAGGCTTTTATAAGGCTGTATTTTCTTTTGAACCATTTAAGAATAAAACTGATTTATAAAACTAGTTAGTTTGGGGTAAGAGAGTTACAGTGCTCCGTTAAAAGAGATGGGAATGTTACAGGAAATACAGTACCCCTACACCTTTACATTTTTTTGACATTTCCAGACATAATATGTTTCTTCTTCGTGGAGTAACTCTTTCTAACATTGTCATGTTTAATTAGCTTTGCAAAGTATTGAACAAGTCAAATGTGATTATAATTCATCCTCAGGGGAACATGAATGTTTGTGCCAAATTTCATGGCAATCCATCCAGTAGTTGTTGAGATATTTCAGTAGTGGACTGACTGACTGACTGACTGACAAACAGACATTGCCTTTCCTAGATAAAATAATGGAGGCTACATACACTTACATTATTAGGGACCAAAATACTTATTACAGTTTCATTTCCTTTGGTAGCATAACTCAGAATAAGGCTTAGTCAGCTCAAATAAAGCAGCACTGGAGCAGTTCAGCTCTGACACGACAAACAAATGATCCCAAACTTTGTGAGAGGACTCTGCAGGCATAATCAGAAACAAAAGGAAATCATCACTCTTACTTGACAATGTGTATAAGCAGCAGAGTCGGAAACAAACAGATACAGAGGTTAGAAAGGTATGTCTGGCCTGTTCATCTGCACTGGGCTGCCAGACAGACGTATAGATCGCCTCTCGACTGCATTTCATTGGACTTCCTTTTACACTGATGCTGTGCTTTTAACAAGCACTGAAACATACGGTAGTCTTAGCTTTGCTCATAGACACCCACCAAGCATTTGACAGAGAGCAACACCTTAGATTTACATAAATGGCAGATTCAACATTAACCCAACCCAGCACAAAAATCCCACAGTATATTATGGCACAAAAATTCAAAATAAAATCGCTTGGGAAAGAATTTCAAACTCATACTTTAAAGATCCCTATTTCGCAAAGCAAAGCAGGTGCGGTAGCAGCTGATGTCGTCTTTATTTACATGGTTTTTCACCAAGCCATTCAGCGCCAAAAAGTTATGAGGGACTCTGCTCCCAGCAGCAAGTGACTGAGTGAACTACACTGTTTCAAATCCATGTGATTAAAGATGTAGTGACTCAGAGGCAACTCTTCTGCTGGAAGCATGGGTCCTTTTGTTCCTGAGTATGTCTCACCATAGTCCAACAAGTCACACGTGCTGTTCTATGGTGGGCTCGAGCCATAATGCCATAACGTGTGCTCATTGCTTCCAGTTTAATTAAGTCAATGTAGAAATAAGTACATAAAAATCTGATTCAATTCAAACATCAAAAGCCGAGTTTGGTTAGATGTAAGCTCTTCTACAAGCAACAAGACGAAAAGAATCTCACACACGTACACAAAAACATTAAGAAAAGAGACAAAAACATACTCTTAATAAATTGAAAGTCAACGTTAGACTTTGGCTTTTTTTTTTTTCTTCTTCTAAGGGCTTAAAACGCAAAAGTCAGAATCTCAATATCGTCTTTTTTGCATCAAAGCAAATACTTAAGTTGAAAATAAAAAGTCTATTTACATGATTCTGAAACTCAGCTTAATTTCCCCAAATCTTTTCAGCTCAAAGGCCTGGTCACACTAACGTTTAAAATGTCAACACATTCCAATGAGAGTGGATTCACTTGCGTAGGCAAAGTAAATCTGTGCAATTTTTTTTGTTTCAAGTTAAATTTTGGTGAACTTTACCCCACAAATTTGCACTAAGTCATCTTGACAGTGCTAACCTTTCAAGGACCAGAAAGGCAGAGATACCGAAACGGAAGAAGCTAGCATAAACAGTACGAACTCATTAACGACCGACTTAAAAAGCTAGCTAGCTAGCTAGCTAGCTCTCCCTCTTCATTTACCCATGTGTAGCGGCTTCGAGAACCAAATATTTAGCAGAGCCGTGGATTAAATGCACTGTGACACTTTCTGGTGTGACCAGGGCTTTTCAGTCAGCTTGCTGACGTGTGTTCACTCTCTTGGGGAATTTTTGTCTGATTTTCTGATACTGGAGGTTTTTTGTGTTGTTGCTCTCTGTTGAATTTCAGTTTGATCTGCGCAAAGTTTGTCTTTGTGAAACTGGAGCTGTTAGTCTTGCCCAATGACACATTAGCAGCATAGATGCTTTCCTAAATAGTGGCTTGAACCCCAGTCGTCTCACTAAATGACAGTTTCCAAACTCTCAGCTCATTTGTATGTGGCACACTCAGGCACTGGTCTCTCAACTGTGAATATTAGTTTCCTAGCTGAGTGACCCAGACTCAAAATTCAGGTATAGTACATATATCCAATCCCAAATTTGTCTGAGTCCACCATCCACAGCTGTCCAGTCACGCACTGTAAGTGGGCCACAGACAGTTTTCTAATATTCTTGTTGGCGTGCTTCCCTTAATGACAACTTTTAAATATTTTATGAATGAAGAAGAGCCTCTTCATTAAGAAATTCAGAAACCCCAGCAATGATAATCTTCCAAATACATTTCATTTTTTTCACCTTCAGGTAGCATTTTAGATTTGGGAAACCAGGCCTGCAGCAGTAGGCTTTGAATCTTCAAGTAAAGATGTACAAAGAGACACACAAGCACTCACTGCAATAGGACAAAAAAAATCGCAAAGGTTTTTTAAAAAAAAAGAAAAAAAAGAGAGACATAAAACTAAATTATTAATGCACTTGCAGCATTAATCTCAAGAGACGTTTCTTCCACACAGAGTAGACTTAGATACATTTTTTTAAATCCATTTTTCAAATTCAAATGCATGTTGTATTGCAGTTTTGTATTTTTTTCATAGTATAAGCTCAGTGCATTTCAAGCCTCCATTATAAGAATATGAAGTGTTTAAATTTGCTCAAAACGTCTACATTAGTTCAAGTTAAAACCCTTCCTCGAGTAGCAGCGATGAAGTGTGCTCTCGTACTTTAAACAGTGATTGACATACTTGGTCAGTATTCAAGACAAAGAGGAGTCCATGGTTTCCTTTTGAGGAGAGCATCATGCAAACTGCAGAAGAATAGATGAGAAAGAAGCAAAGCACCCACTCTCTCGTCGACAGAGTTTTAAAAGCAGTTCCTTTGTGATCAAGCATTTTGTTAGGCCATGAAGAACAGGAAAGGGATTCTGTTGTAGCTTTCCATCCATTCAAAGTGCTTGAATTAGATAGTTAAGTATAGTTTGTTTTTGTTCTTCAAGCGCAGATATTTGTTTTTAATATTTTTTTGTCTAGGGCAGAGACCTTACAACAACCCCTTTCCTTTTAGTCCACCCACTCTCCAATTAGGCTTAAACTTCCTCCCTTACACAAACTCTCTGTCTCCGAAAAGAAAAAAGAAAAAAAAAAAGAAAGAAGAGAGATTACGTTGAGGTGACAACTCCTTTCACCACCGGTTCTCTGTTAAGGTACGTGGCCCAGTAGACGAGGTTGAAGGTTCCAAAGAGGACGGGGAATACTATCCGCGACATCTTGTCGATCTTGCTGACGCTGTTGTAGGTCTTCTTGGGATCCACCATCTTGGTCTCAGCGGTTCGGAGCTGCACCGACGTCGTGTTGGAGATGGTGGAGATGGACACGTCCTTGGTGAGGTTGGGAGTGTAGTTGACGCCCGCCGAGCAGACGTTGTTGGGTTTTTTCGACAGCACCATAGGGTCTCGTTTCTACAGGGGGACAGATTACATTGAGCAGTGAATTAGTTTTAAGCCCTCTACAGATGCCGCTTGCACCAGTGTTGCTCCCAGTATTTCTGGCCTGAGATAATCAATGTGTTTCATTCTGTCTGGAAGAATTAATGATTTTACAGAGGTAAAACATTTCTGGTAAACTGTGGACTGATGGGTAATTGAATTTCACCCACCATGATTCCCACTGGTGGTCTGGCAGTTTGAGATTTTATTTATGATGATTTCAATATGCAGGTATATGTTTAAGAGCAGCTGCTAACAGACAGATTTTGTGGGCATCTCTGGTTTTACTAAAGCAAGAAACATGTATGATAATCGATATCGTGAAGTGGTATCAATATCCTGATAACTCTATCCATTGCTATCTATCTGATGTTTTCATAGTTGTCAGTGGGATTCACACATCGAAAACTGGCTTTAACTTATTTGTCCACTTTAATTTCAAACATGGATACTAAAGTGGTTCCTTAAAGAAATATGGAAATATACATATTTGGTCTCTGGCCAACAGTTACACAAGAAGACTGTTACAGCTCTCATGCTTGTACATTAAACTACATAGCTAGAGGCTGGGGAAGGTTAGCTGTGACAGTGATGTTAAGTACTTGTGATTTATAATTTTTGGGCTAAAAGATGTGAAACCCGTGATATGGTCCTCTAAACTGACACTGCCACTGTGTAGTATTTTAAGGGGTTTTGTGCCGTAGCTGTACCTTAGGGTGCTGTGCTTCCAGAGCCTTCTTGCCATCCCAGGCCCAGCTCCTCTTGGTGAAGTAGTTCACTGTGGCGAACTCGATGAGGGCAGAAAAGACGAACGCATAGCAGACGGCAATGAACCAGTCCATGGCTGTAGCGTAGGCCACTTTAGGGAGTGAGTTCCTGGCGCTGATGCTGAGGGTGGTCATGGTCAGCACCGTGGTCACCCCTGGGTGCAAACAAAGGACGTGGCAAGTTTAAATAGAGTTTTTACAAGCTGCCTGCAAACAAGCAACAGTCTCCCCTCACTCTGCGCTATAATAACTCTTAACTGCCAGCTACTGCAGTGCTGCTGCTCAGTGGACAACTGTTATTATTCTCCCTGGTGTGAATGAGCATGACAGGAATATTACACAGACAAATAAAAAGTAGAAATAAGTAAATAAGCAGCTTCACTCACCAAAGACAGTCCTTGCAGGAACTGATTCTCTGTTTAGCCAAAATGACACCTGAGACAGGATTACAGTCATGAAACAGGGCATATATGTCTGGATGACAAAATATCCAATCTTCCTCTTCAGGTAGAAGTGGGCCATCATCACTGTATACTGTCCTGAGGGGAGACAAGGAAATAAAAAGGATATGAAGTTAGACAGGGCCAATATACAAGGCGAGTGGTTAGATGTCTCCTAATGATAGAGATATCTGCTTTAAGCTGAACCACACCGGGTTAATATTGTGTGGACAAAGAGTGATTATTAATGTGTGATTTGACAGCACAAAGGATATTTGTTTTACCACATAGAACAACGCAAACATTACAGCCTTACTTTTTATGACCAAAAACTAAAATGGACTAAAATCGTTCAATAAAATTTGCTCAATCACTGAATGAAACAGGCACAAAAATGGCCATAAACTCTTCTCACCCAGCTAATGTACCTCTCTTCATTTCTGCTATTTCAGTAATGAAATAATCAGAGATGTTGGAAACTGCAGAATTGAAAGCAGCGGAGGTGGAACAGTTAAAAAATGAAGCTGGGATAAAGAGAGCATTTCATATTCAGTTGAACATGACGACGAACTCCATTATTAAACTGAAAAATGAGCGCAAAGCGGTATTAATTATTTCAAGAACATGACAATAGATTGTTATGCAGTTAATGTCTGCTATTCAACAATGCAGCGATGGCAGTTGGAGGTAAATCCAGAGACAGGCAAAGTGTAGGGACAGAGAGATAGAAAGAGAGGGGACACAATATTCAGTTAAACAAGCGAAGATTGCATTTGAGGCTTTAAAAAATCCCCTCGCCAGCAGCAGTGTGCGACTGCAGGCGCTGGTAAACTATGAAAAATCCAATGACTATATTCCACACACTAGAGCACATGTACACAAGCTCTCTCTTCTCTCTCTCTCCCTCACACACACACACACACACACACACACACACACACACACACACACACACACACACACACACACACACACACACACACACACACACACAGAGTAATACACAAGGCTTTCTCCAGGCAAAATCGGATTTTTGAACCTCCCTAATCCCTGGTTACAATCTGCATCCTGCCATCAGTGAGAGAAAGAGAGGGAGTAAAGGGAGGGGAGGAGAGGGGGGGTGAGGCTTCCTGTCCTGGGATCCTCACAGAGCCCTAAGCCACGCCTACTCCGCCCTGCCAATCCAGGCACCGACATGCACACATACGCACACATACACACATGAAGCATGATCTCTAACTGCTGACGGCCACCACATACACACATACTTCAGCACACACTCTAAGCCACAGACAGGGACACTCCCGCCACTGCTGCTACTCACTGGTGGGATGGAGGGGGGGTAACCGTGTGGACATTTTCTATCACTTCCTTTTTATGTTGTTTTTCTGTTCTTTGGCAGCTGTTTGTGGAATAATGATCACAGATTCTTGATGGGACTGGCTGGCGTACGAAGGGAAGAAGGAAATGCATCAACTGACATCAGCCTGAAAGTGAGGTGAACCACTTCTTCTGCTGAGGGCAACCACTACATACAAGACCTATCAACGTCAGCCACTGCCATGCCTCAATCAGGAGATCCCCAACAGCATTAGTTCTCACTGCGCCCCCATCACCTGGGCCCTCTGACGCCCTCATGACTCCAGGCCGTCTGGCTCACAGCTACCCCGTCGACTTCTACTGCTGTCGGAAACATCCGGACACATCCAGGCGCTGCCAACCTGGGACACCCCAGGGTCACCTTTGCCCTTGATGCATGGATCCCGACAGGACTGGGGGCAGAGGAATAAGGAGGAACATGTTCCCCTGGTGGATCTTACTGCTTTTCTCCCAAGGATTTGTATTTCGCAACGTCCAAGGGGAACTTCCGTTTATGTCAGAGAACAATGCTGCCATGCTGGTCAACTGGTGAGTAGGAAAAAGATTTTTTTGCCTTTGTCTGTCTCAGTTATTGGCATGAAGTTTAAGTCTAAATGACTGATTAAGGTGTCTCTGATGATTTGCAAAGATGACAGAAAAGCAATAGTCCAAAGCATACCATTCTATACTCGTCCTACAAGTCCCTACAAACAGTGGCTATAACTGTTGCTATAGAACGCCTTACCTACTTTTAGAGTCAGGGAGATATTTTTGGAAAGATACCGCTGTCTGAGGCAGGAGTCATGTCCTTAAAGATGTCGTGTCCTTAAAAGAAAAACTTGGGGACTAATCTCCTCCCTCATGTTCTATAATGGGAGTGTTGTCAAAGATTATATGTGCTAATTAAAGCCTCTCAACAACCATCCAGTATTTTGAGCCATGGACCTCTGTACAATAGGTTTCAGGATTTGATTCATCCAACAGTTCAGCCCCAAAGGATGTCCACTGTTTTTGTTGAGGCCCTGCATCCAGAGCAAGGAGACGAGTTGTTACTACTGCGGATAACAACACAAGAAAGGCCAGACAATCATTAATAGACTGATGTTTTGAATCTCAGGTTTACAAGTGCTTCATTACTTTGTCTAGACTCAATAGAACAGCAGGCGACTGTCAGACTTCTTTTAATCAAGCAGAGAAGCAGCAGTTAACTCCAGGTGACAGTGCACTTCTGTCTCGCCTTTTATCAGAGCAATGATAAATCTCTGGCCTTCACTCCAAATGCACCAATTTTGGTTGCATTTATTGTCCTTAATATAAAATGTTTTTTTATTTTTGGAAAGCCCATCCATGGTCAACTTCTAGGTAAATGAGAGAGCTACAGGCAGACAGAAACAGCTATCAGAAGGTGTTGCTTAAGTTGTCTTTTCACACCTATGGATAAATCACAACCTGAAGCAGTTTTTTACAAAGGTGGAATCTGTTTTCACATCCATGATTAAACCTGCTGTAAAATTTAAAGCATGTTAATGTGTCAGACTGCTAAATGCTGCTCTGGCACATCTGAAAGTGTCATATTTGGTGTGTGAAAGTTATCAGCAAGAGAGTCAAAGACATACAAAATGTAAATTAACCTACTGGACTGGATGTGACCCCTGAGCCCAAACTCATCAGCAATCTCCACCACTGATTTGGATGGTTTCCAGACAGAAGCTTTGAGCTGCATGAATGATGATTTACTGCCTTTAGTCCTTCGGCTAAATGGAATTCTCAGATAATGTTCAGCATTTTGTTGTGATAAGTCAGAACACCAGATGGCGGTTTGATAAGTTAGGACAAACAAGGTGATGTCAAGTAAACTGTCAGACATAGAAATACGTAGAAACTGACCTTGGAAGTTGATTAAACGATGAAACAAATCCCAGTAAATGACTTATTTCTGTACAGAAATATGAAATGGTTTTCAAGAGAGGATAAAATATTTTATATGTCTGGTCTTTGCCTGATCACCCATACGAGAAGGAAGTAGTAGTTGGCGTCATTAAATAATGTAGAAGGAACCAGAAATGGTAGAATGATGCTGTTACTTGCTGATACTGGACAAGAGAAACATAAAAAGATGCCAAAGAAATGAATAGAAAACAGCACAGCTTAAAAGGCACCCTGTGCAGTTTTGGTCACTACTAGTGTTATGAAGCAATGGTTTTATGAGCAGGTCCCCATTTTGTTTTTATTGTGCACCTGCCACCAGCTTCACTGGTCAGCTAGTCTGCTAACAAACAGTTGGTGACGGTAATATGCAAAGAAATGGAGTTGAGTATAGTCTTAATGAATTTCATGCAAAACTACTTGATAAAAGAATTGCATTTTATAGTTTTTATTTGAAGGAAGGCTGCAAAAAACTGATTTAATTCAACATTTTTGTCACTTTCTTCATCTTTAAATCTGTGTTTTCATTTACAGCTCACAGAGTGGCTTTAGATTTTTCCACTGGGATTGTGGGTTGGATATTCCCTGTCCCTAGTATTGTTAATTGTTAATTCCTAGTTACCAGAGACTGCAGCAGACAATAGTTAAAATATGACACAGTATGTCAAGATTGAAGTAGACTTTTAGCCAGCCTTTTATCAACCGGTCAACTAACAAGCAAACTGGGCAACAAACTGCCTGAACAACCATCCAGCAAGTGAACCTGCAGTTCAGCTGAGCAGCCATATAGTCCCTCAACCAACAAACCCATTTAACCCTCCTCTTAAACCACTGAGTCAGCCAGCAAAGGGAAGGTTTGTGTTGTGCTGCGTGAATAGAAAAGAGGGGAAATCCACACTTTTAATAATGATTCTACTAGAAACTGGAGGGAAGTGTAATACAGTTTCCGCTTTACATAAGAGTATTAAGCAGATGCCTTTCAACGCCCCCGCCCCCACCACCCCCACGTGTCAGAGCGAGGCTGTCCAATTCCAACAGACAAACAGATGCACACACATTTCTTCGTCTATCTTTGTGAGGACCTAAATTAAAATTTAAGCAAAACGCCATAATGTTAAACTCTTGTTTTTAATTAGGATCCTATCTTATCCTATAAAATGAAGCCTCATCCTTATTTAATGTCCCACATTAATAACAGCTTTAAAGTAAACTCACAGCCCAGAAATAACCCTGAATTAACCAGGTCATTGTTTGCACCATCAAAGAGTCTGCACTTTGCCGGGTTTTTAACCATCATTGTGAGGACAGGTGTACTCACAGAGATAAATGTACAAGAGCACATACACACACACACACACACACACACACACACACACACACACACACACACACACACACACATATATACTCAGCGACAGCCAACCAACCAATCCCTCACTGATCTGTGATGTCATCTTCTTATGCAAAAGCTGATGGGTGGTTGGATGGGGGGATTAACCCTAGGTCTCAGGTCTCTCTCTAGCTCTATGTGTGTGTGTGTGTTCGTGCATGTGCTTGTGTATGTGTGTGTGTCTGCGCATGGGCTCATGCAGGGATAAGTGTTGTTTGACAGGGCTGTCCAGGCCTGTAGACAGCTGGTTGTGTGAGGGATAGGCTACTCTCCTCCACTAGCCTCCACTCATTGACTCTGATCTCCTGATAATGTTTCCCACATTTACTCTGTGCCTTGCACGCCCATCTCTCCTCACAGCGTTTATCTTTTCTAATCTAGAATTAGTTACATCACATTATTTGGTATTACACTTATCATGCATCAAATAAAGTATGAAATTACTCATGGAAAAGGTAAACAGGAAAAGTGAAGAATAAGTTTGGTGGTAGAAAAGGCTTCTTTAGTTAATAAAAAAAGATAGGTTGTAAAAACAACAGGACTCTGTTGTGCAGCAGCTGAGTCAGCCTCTTCTAAATACACAACAATCTGTTGTGACTCCATCTTTGCCTGATAAAGCCGTCACTTGCTGCGATCTGAAAATGTTGTCAGTGAGATGACTGAGAGATGATACATGAAAAGTGATCTGACGAGTGATGAGTCAGTGAAGTAGATGTTTTAAAATGCAGTGTGATCCTAGTACTCTAGAATTATTGTTAACGTTTTACATTATATAATGTGAATTATATTATATTTAAAAAAGATTAAAAGGTAAGGCATTATTCTATATATTTTCTGATGTCAACAAAACCCCTTAAAAGGTCAAAACTAATAATACTGCTTGCAGTTTCTCATTACTTTTCTACTTCTCTACCTTGTCTGTGGGACAAGCGCATTAGTTCCTAAAGATGCAAAAGCAGCTTTAAAACATAAAAAGAGATTCTCAAAACAGGCCACAAATGTGCAGTTTCATCTTTAAAAAAGGCTTAGTCATTTTCTAAATCAGCTGTGTGCTATAGTTTTTAGCACGTGTCACTCAGACAGACGACTACAGTGGATTTTTTTAGGAATTATTTTCAGCTGTGGATTAATTTGCACCAATGAGTACTTCCAGCACTAAGTTTTTTGAATGTGGGAGAGACTCAAAATAAATTACAAAGGCCGACTGCACCTGACCAGCTAAGTTCAAACTTAGCACAATCATAACTTAGCTTAAGTGTTTACTCTGTAACTGCTAGTTGTGACTGTTGCATAGCTACCTGAGCTATCTGACAAAACTAACAATAGCTTGCTGTATCAGGCTTTGACTACAAAGACAATACTTTCTTTGCAGGATCAGTTAATTGTTGGTGTTAACAATAACATAAATATACAGTAGCATATGGCCAGCCTCAAGTCAAATTATCTCACTGCATAGGCAGATGTTCCACGCGTTTTTTTCCCCATGATTTCAAAATAAAATAACTTAATAAGGGATGATGTGATGTGCATTTTGTTGACCAAAACACTATTAGCTCGCTGACAGTTAATAATGTTTGGACCAGAAAATACTGGCGTAGTTTAGTCTTTCACACAAGTATAATTTGATACAACCCAAGTTATCCTATTTTACTCTACTGTGTATGCTCCAGTTTATTTTATACAGTAGCTGTGTGCTAGAATTCTGATTCTTTCACACGCACATTACCTATTCTTTATTTTCCTTGCATCACTTGTGCTTTTTGAAATTATCAAAAGATTTCTGTGCTTTGGGATTAAGTTGAACTGCTGGTACTTCTATTTTTGATATTGTTTCATTAATCCTCCAACTCTTTCTTTACTACTACTACTACTACTACTACTATCACAATGTCTGCATTACTATTCGGACTATTTCAATTCCATTATTACAGTAGGATTTGGTATGTTCTTTACCTGTGTATAAAGATACACTCAAACCTGCATACCTCTGCTTGTGTGTATGTCCTCTGTGCCAGCAGTTTGCCCAATAAGATGGTACTGGTTGAGTCTGGAGCCGTCCTCTGCCACCACCACTGACTTTGCAGCTCCCTGAGTCCAAGTATAGACCACCTCTGACACTGGATAGGCATCTGAGAGAGAGAGAGAGGGACAGAGAAGGATTAGTTGAAATTGATTTGGGAATTTAGCATGTTCATTTCTAATATAATGCATATTATACAACAGGTAGTTCCGACCAAGTAATTTGATTGGATGAGAGTCATTCCATGAGTGCTGATATAGACTATAACAGCACTGGCACTTTTAACTACATGTATCAATCCGCTTTACAGGTGTCACATTAACTGTCATTATCTCTCTTAGATTGTAACAAACTTTGCAAAGATGAAAATATTTCCAGAAATAACATTTGAATTAAATGACGTGTGGTCGTCAGAAGAGGATGAAGGGAAGAAGCCTGGATACTTCAGCGCACACCTGAGATAATGAGCAGACAAAGTAGCAAGCTAGTGTGCACTGTGCAGGTCAGGAAAATGTTTATGTGTTGCTTAGCAACAGTCCAGTATCAGTCTGGCTGCAGAACTATTTTTGTTGGTGTAGCCAAATAAACGATGAAATAAACAAACAAATCATAATCTGTTGTTGCTTATTTAATCAATATGGCACTTGTAGAGCTGTTGTATAAAAGCAATATCACTCGGCCTGCGGCCTCTTACCCATGACCAAATCACAGCCGTGCTGATATTCAGTACAACATCACAACCTCGAGTGTGATATTGCTTAATTAACATATTACGGGTAGCTTCAGCCCCGTCATCAATCATATTACGTGTAGCTACCCATTTGCTGGTGTGTGTATTTGAGTGAGTGCTGATGCACAGTCTTTCTAGCACTTTTTGATTAGACCGCAGGCTTAGGGCCAAAAACAGATTTTTACTTGCAGGCCTGTGTATGTGTGTGGAGAGGGTGGGGCGGATATTTGAGTGTATTTTTGTTTAAACCACACTTCTGGGTCAGAGGTGAGCTCCACAGTCAGCAGGAGACTGAGTCAGATTAACCATAATGTGTTGCATCACACTTGTGATGAAAATCTGAGCACAAACTCTGAGGCCTCTCCTACTATTTCATTTATTCATGTTGAATTGTGCACAAAGACTAGACATCGATCCATCGTCAGCTCTGTTGGGCTGAAATATGAAAAGATGAAAATGATTATGAATCTTTTACATCTTGATTGCCACGTGCTCTATTTATTAGAAAAGATGATCATTTATGTAATTTATTCACTGTTGATTATGATATTTGTCACCTGCATTTTGACATATTTTCAAGTAGAATTGGCACAACCTTTAAAGATAAGAACAAGGAGGAAGCAGGCACTGAAAAGCTATTTGTGATCATGTCAACTTATATTAGATTTGGAAAAATACTGATCAAGATCTTAAAAATATATCAGAATTCGAAAAACAGACAGGCTGTCGGGGAAAATGGGAAAAGAAATTAACTGCTGAGAGGAAACAGAGAGGAGGGCTGCATCAACCCACTTAGGGTAGATGTTCAATTTCATTTGATATTCATTTTTTATTTTGATGTTCTCTAAAGGATACAATTTAATACTGGGGATATAAAGTGGCTATAATTTCTTCCACAATGACAAGCACTGCTTTTAGGAGTTTTAGAAAGACAACACTTAATGGGATGCACAGTGAAATTGGCACGGCAAAGTGTTGTTTCCTCAGCTGGAAATTGTGAAGAAGACAATTATGTACATTAAATATCTATGAATAGAACACAGGAGAGGAGACAAATGCATTCAAAATTTTAAATGTTTACTACTTATTTTGCTGACTGTCACAAACACTAATTAAACCCTTGACTTGGCCTTGTGTAACAGGGTTGGCATTGCCTATTTCTGGCCAGCAGATAACATCTTGAGTATTTTCATTCTGGGTGCTCACTTGGCAGCTGGACACTGCTGTACAATATATGTAGTCTTTAAATTTGGGCACTGTCAAGCCAAAGTCCAGGACCTTAATTGGAGGGTAGTTAGATTGGAATAAGGGATTATTGGTGAATTTCATTACGCAAAGGAGGAGCTAAAGACTTTGGCAGGCATGGCAGTGCACCTGTGCCAACTTTTCAACAGTTCACACTTAATACTTTGCTGCTCCCGCCTTGTGTATGAGGCAAAGGGAGTTACAACTCAGCCAAACTCAGCACTTACTGAACAGTAGCTCTTTGCACTCTGGGTGCAGCTGTCTCAAATTTTAAAGGAATGCAGATGAATTCACAAAATGTGTTTTGTATTAATCTTCAGTATGACATACATGCCTTTACAAACCCAGTGTTACCACACTGTTGGTGCCAAATCACACTTTCTCAATGTGTGGAAAACTACAAGTCAATAACCTAAAGAGAGACTTACAATACTCACACTAAATAGCTCTACGCTGCTATACATAAACTTGTCTATATTTCCCTGTCTTTTATATGGATCCTTAACTGGTGAAGATGCTGACTTTTTGCCTTGGACATTTAGCTTTGGCCTCAGTCTTTTAGCACATTGTGCTGTATGTTGCCATCAAGTGCACATTCAAAACCCCTTTTACAGGATTCTCATTTTAAAATGAATCCATGGCAAACATTAAAAAGTCAGCTGGAGACAGTACTTTCAAGCAACTCATGGGGCTAACATTAGCTACCTAGCTACAGTTGATAAAATCTGCCTTCTTAAATTTTTTTACAGTAATTCTTCCACCATCATCACTATAAACTGTATATGTGCCATACAATACTGGGAAACGTGGTGTAGCAACAGTAACTAAGGAGGCTGGATTCAACAAATGGTCAGTTACTCTCACGACTGCAAAAGGTCACTTCTCAGAAAAGCATAAACATAGGTTGTTGAACCAGTGCTGTCATTTTTTCTGTTCTCTTTCCTGTAAAAGCCAACTTCATCTGCAGACAGGAGACAAATTCAGAGTATGTGTATATGAAGTATTCAACAAGACTTAGGTTCATCCTTTGGTTTTAGAGCTGCTTCAGTCCTCTGTTTGATCCCCTAAGTCCTGAACTGATGTTAGACTGTTGTTAAAGAGGAAATGTCCTTATCCTGAAGGTTCATTCATGTAATTCAGACATTCATATCTTAAAATATGAAAGGCTCCAAGAAGGAGAGTAACTGTTAGGTGATTCACTGCATACAGTATGTTCACCAGATCAATGTGGGTTGAAGGCTGAGATGACTCACTGGACCATAGTTTGTTTTGCTGTTTCTCAGGGTTTTGTGCACCTCACACCATCACCTGCATCTTTATGTGCTAATTTGGTGGAACAAGCAATTTTCTACACACACACCTCACTGTGAACACAAGCTGTCGATTATGATAATCATGTGGTAATTTCCGAGAAAGTAGTTTTCTTTAGAGACTCTTCTCCCGAGTTGGTTTCAACCTGTGGCCTTTTAACGATGCAGATTTTATTTGATTGTCACAGTTGTCACGGTTTGCCAGACTGTTCATCTGTGAGTTGTGCAGCTTTTGTGTCTGATGCACCAACAATTCCAATGTTCACTACTGTGCCTCTGCAAATTTGTTAGTCACTGCACGTTGCAGTTCAATTCAGCTCAGCTAGTTTCTAATGTTTCCAACTCCAAGATGTGGTAAAAAAAAAAAAAGAATGCTGCCATTTCGTGTCTTTCAAGAAAAATAATTGCATCTTAAATTAAATGCTACATATCACATTAACTAAATACTGTAGAGTATTACTCCTCAGCGTGTGTTTGAGAATTGTATGGCTGAAGACCAGCAACTAAATTAGGACACAGGTACTGTAGGGCAGAATAAGGGATTAGTTGCCCTTTACCTGGAGCAACTTTAGAGCAGACCTTCATGCTTTAATTGCACAATAAATAAGTATTCTGTCACCAATGGGTGGATACAATTAGTTACAGAAGATGGGTATGAGTGCATATTCTGTGCATCATGCTATTTTAATCTAATGGCAAAATATTGATTTAAATTGAAGCAACTCATTCTGTCCAGTAAAGCCAAGAGCGGAGAGATTTGGTGGCTTATTTTTTACATGGGGGATTAAATTTGCCCATTTTTCATTACACCAGGTGTCGTATACTTTCAATGATAGTGGAGGTGCAGCACTGTCATAGAGGTTTAGTATGTACCGCGTTAGGCCCCCTGAGGACAAAGGCTAAATCAGGAGGTGGTCAGAAAAAGAGGTCAGCTAGTCTCAGAGCTTCAGGAATTAAACAATGAAAGCAAAGATCTTCCACACACTAGGATGCTTCACCTTAAAAATGCAGTGTTGCCCTCAACACATTATTCCTATTATACACTTACACCTCTCACCTGCAGGGCACTGCATCGGGGCGATTAAGTTAGAGTTTGCCATGGGAAGGCCCAGCAGCTCCTTACGCTGTAATTGGATTGCAGTCAAGTGTGCTTCTCTTATATAGTGAGTGTGGGTGGACTGCGTCTCACAGAAATCTGGGGATAAGAGCCTCATCCTTTTAGCCGAAGAGGCTCCCAAGGTGTGGCATTTTGCCAGATCTGTCTTTAAATACCCACAGGGCCACTCAAGTTTCTATACATGTCCTCACTACATGTCCTCACTGGTAGGACACACAGCCATCCCGTTAAGAAGGCATTGGGGAAAACCCTTCCGATCACTGGCCTAATTAAGTGCTGGGGTTCTTGCAGTAATCATCTCCTCTTTTTTCTCTAACTCTTCTTTAGTTTTTAATTGTTGCTGCAAGGGAAGACCATGAAGTAACACATACATTAACATACATTTACAGTCTGGGTACAGTTTAGGTCTTCCTTGAGCAAAATCCTCAGGCTAACTTCTCACTGCATGTGGATCCCTGTCATTGCACATGTGTATTCTCTTGAACTCGTACTGTGTATTTGTGGCTTTGATTTATTAACCAAATGCGCTACAAGCCACATGCACCATCAAATGTCACTTCTATGTTATGTATTGGAATAGTTTGGCGACTGAAAACAAGTTAAAACGAGACTGCGTAGCTTTTGAGAGGCGGCCGCTGTTCAGTAAAAGTTGCACAGTCTTACTTTAAAAGTGAACTTGACAATCATGAATTAAATGTAATGGAAGCAAACTCAGCAATCCAGATAATGACTCTGCCAAAGAAGCGATGCATTAATTACCCAATACTGCCCAAAATAATCTGTCATTGTTCTCTAAATCTAGATTAAACTTTTGTATGACTTGCTGCACTGAAGTGAAAACTACTACTGCACAGTGTATCATAATAGCTAGGATTAGAGTAAAGTAAAGAACAACACACATATAAAAATAGACATGATTTTACTTACAGCTGCCAAACTTAAGAGGGCAGGCGTGTGCGTCCATGGGGAAATCCTCCAGCTGCATGGGGCACTCTGCTGATATGGTCAATCTAAGACAAAACAAACAATATATTCATTAACTATCTGGTCTTGCTCTTTGATGTCATAATTAACACATTGCGAGACAATTTATATTAGTATCTTATTTTGAATTTAGTGTCTTTTTCACTTTCCTATTTAACCTTTACACATTGAAGTGAGCATGTAGACCTCTTATTCAGGGCACGGTATAATTACAGGAACAGCTACAATTGCTGGATCACTAAAATTACAGGGTACTAAAAACAATTAGAAGGAAGGTTGTGACTTGACTGTTTTTATAATAATTACTATTAAACAATCCTCTATAAAAAGAGTATAAAGAAGAAAGAGAGATATTCAGAAAAAATACATTAGAGTCCAGATTATTACTTTGTTATTCATATTGATACCATTTTATGATAAATGAATAAATGAAATGTGAATGGTAAGAGCTGTTATCATTCTATTTTTAACTGAAGAAGTTCCCAAAAATCTAAATTAAAGACTCTATTGCATCAATTTTATCAATTTAAATCTAATGTTTTTGTAATCATTTGACTTTTTTCTTCTACTCAGAAATAATAATGCAGAAATAAATGTTAGTCTGAAAGTAATAAATGGTCACAGGTTCTCAATTTCTGATAAAGAAAGTCACTTGCAGTTCTAAATAAAAAAGTTTATAAATTGATTTTGGTCCAAATGTCCTGCAGCCCTTTTCCAACCCAAAAGCTGTTCTTATAACTGAAGCATTAGTGAATGATTTATTAACCAGGCATTTATAAGGCATAAATTAAACCTTATAAACCCTTTATAAATGGCGCCATAGCATAGAGAGCGGTACCGTGATATTTTTTTCTCATTACAGTAAAATCATGGTACAGTAGTTTAATGTTTAACACTAGCAAGTGCTTTGTTTCTCTCTATCAGCAACTCTAGTATTACAGTGACAATACTGCCACCTGGTGGTCACAGAGTTACTGTGTAAATCATCTTTCCATGAAACAGATGGAACCTTGGGACAAACTCTCATGCAAGTCCTTTTTCATTTTGTTCTGCCCAGTCATAATCTTAAACCTCTGTCTCCTAATGAACCTCATTTGGATTGGTAAGAACCTTAGATTTAATCTATCTTTTGCTTTATTTGTATTGATTTAATCACATGTGAGCCTGTGTAAATCATTCGCAAACACAATCTATTTCTCTGTCAGTCATTCACAATCATTTAAGACATGCTGTTATCATTTTATCTGCCATGATACCTCCTCTCAGTGCCCTAAAAGAACCGCAATATTAAGTAACTCAGGCACACAAATCAGGCATACACACATCATAATTGTTCTTTTTTTGAGCTATCTGCCCTAGATTGAATCAACTCCCTCTGGGTATTCTTGCTCCTTGCATGATGATAAATAGTAGTACAGTGATATGATGATGTGGATTCACTGAACTTAATGGACTGCATTAAGGAAAATTAAGTGATGTGGAAACTAGAGCATGAAAAAACACACATTTATTACATTACAGGTTTCTCTTGCATAGGTTTTTGTTTTCTGCTTTAACCACCAAGGCACGTGAGCAATCCCGACATTAGTTACAGAGTAAGGTAAATGATTGTTTGTATTATAATCGTAATGGGACAAAATCCTCTTGGGACATATTTTTATGCTCCAAAACCTTCTGCACATACATTATGTATCTACGGCAAGAGGTTTCCCAATTATATCATGAAGGTGCATAAAGCATAACAAAGTGGGATAAGACCCTATGGAGATGACTGTTTTGGGGCTCAGCTTGCTTTCCACATCAGTGCAAGATTATTCAATTGCATTATTGTGTCGAAAACAGCTGAAGGAGTTTGTACGGAGGACAGGAAAGAGTGTCTTTGGGATAAATAAATGAGAACATGGCTGTTGGCTGTTATACCATGTTCTAATTATTCATGTGGCCTTGCCCCATTAGGAATAATGCCTGTAAAGATAGCTGCTGTTAATTTTGGGTGTATAGTGATTTGGGCCAGAAACCTAAATCAGTCCCTTTAAAGTTTAAGTCTAATTTACATATTGGGGTAAATTCCCATGATTTTGTTAGCCTGTGGCCAATATGCACTGAGTGGAAAGCAGTAAATCACTGGGGTAAAAGCGCCTGAAAGACCTGCATACAGACCGTCACACCTATGGAAAATCCACGAAATCTAAAGTTTCAAATTCACCTCACCTTGCAGAAAAGTCGAGACCTTGCACATGACCAAACACAAAGGGCTGAGTACTGAGTCCAGGAGTTGTATAGTATATACAAGGTGTGAAAAAAACTGAACTGTTAGTGTTGAATGCAAAAAATAAGGTTAAATAAGATGATACAGGGTTTCTGCAGTAATCACCAAATCAAATTTTGGAATTCAATGCTTTTCCATGACCTGCAGCTATTCTGCTATAATTCATAGTATGGTAACATGTTCAACCGTCTGGGTAGAAGCCCACCAGTCTAGAGGCAACACTAGGAACATGAATGAGAATGGCAACCCAACTCTGCCTAATGATAATGGTGTGTAATGCTCTCACTGCATGGTAATATAGAGGTTCCAGCCAGATGATAAAGCTGAGTAAGTTGCTGGTATCTGGCTATAATGGGCCGCCATCAAGACTGTATGCATTAAGATTGCATAGTGTTGTGAAAAGGGGCATTTTATTACTTATCCATGGAGACAAATGCATAAAAATTGGCTCTATAAAAACCGACCTCTACTCCGCAGAGTAATGGTTTTCAAATGTGCCGGCGCCACAATCCCATTTAGTTAACAGAGAAGAGAGAGGAACTTTCATTGACACCCATACATGATGTGAGGGAGTGTGTGAGGGTGTGATAGTGGATGTAATGTTTGTAATGTGCACCGAGGTGTGTCTCATTCGGCAGTATGTCTGTTTACTAGTGTGTACTGTACATAAGAAGGTGCTGAATGTGTTGTGTGTGCGTGTGTGTGTGTGGTGCTGCATATTGAACACACTGAAAGTGTACTTATGCTTTGTCTGCATGGATCCCATGGGGATGTGAACATGTGGTGTTTTAGCTCCACGTACTATACAGTATATAGGTGATGTAGGATAGGAGAAAATTTATGTGCATGCCGATGAGTGCTTCTATTCTACTGTATGTGTAAGCCCACTGTTTTATTTTTGCGGTACCAGTGGCGGAAAGAAACTAAGTATTTGTACTTTACTCGAGTATTTCCATCTTTTGCTACTTTATACTCCCACTCCAGTATAATTCAGATGGCAATATGCTGACTCTGCTATATTTATCTAAACGCTATAGTCACTAGTTACGTTCCAGATTGAGATTTCACATACAAAACATATGATGATTTTACAAAATATGTCTATTGTTACAGAATAATCTACCTAAAAGTATATAAAATTGTTAAAATTTGCTCCAGCTCGACCAACTACAACAATAAAATACGTCAATAATGTCATAATATTCCAACTGTATGTTGACTACTTTTACTTTTAATACATTAGGTACAGTATTGCTTTAGTAACATTTCTGATGCATGACTTTTACCTGTAATTAAGATTTCTTTATAGTGTGGTATTGTTTACTTTTACTTCAGTACAGGACCTGAATACTTCTTCCGTAGAGTGCTTCATCTTTATAGACTAAAATGAATCTCTACTGTACCGTAGTAAATCATGTAAAACTGATATAACTATAGTTATATTAGAGAATCCTCTGGGGTCAGTTGTTGTCAGTTAGAGGGGACTAACTGACAACAAACAAAAGTAATGCTACTATGTAGGGTAACATACTGTATACTTCTTAGACATAAAATTTTTACTGATTTTGTGTACCTCAAAAGATTTATGATCATTTACGTATTTTTTCAACTTTGTTTAAGGGTTACCATTTAAATACTTCTCTGTGTGCTGGGTTTTAAGAAAGGACACATTGTTTGATTTAGTGTGGTCTATTGGGTGTCAAACAATGAAGAAGTAAAGGTCAACAAAACACGAGATAAGAGCGTCATTAGGAATAGATAGATGGCTAAACAATTGTGTCTAGTGCACATATTTGCCTTTTCCCCATGACAAGTGTTTTAGTATGAAGAATAATTAACATGTAGTGCATGTAGTGGGCATAAAGAGAAACCTCTGCTGTTGAGTTAGCTGTAACTTGCAAGTACCCAGATGGCCTGTGTATGTGTGTGTCAGTGTGTGTTTATGTAGCAAATAACATCAGCGCTGCCTGTGGTTAAGCTGTGCTGATAATGACAAGCACAGTGCTGTAACAATCAGACGATTAAAAGCAACCTACTACTGCTTCATTTCTACTGTGGCAGGAAATCTGATGCCATTTTTAGATTGTGGACACACAAGCTCTCTCTCTCTCTATTGTTCTCTCTCTCTCCCTCTCTCACACACAAACACACACATACATACATGTATATACAGTACATCTTTGCATTCTGATATTAACACATGTATGCATAGATTTCCATAAAATTACACATATGGAAATTAACGCACACGTTCACGCAATCCCTCCCTTGTTAAGCCTTGAGGTCGAAGTTCAGTGTCACTACAACTGATTAACATGCTTGACACCCGCGGTGTGTGTGTGTTCATGTGTGTGTTTTGTGCTTGTGACAAAGAGGTGACTATAAATACACTCTTCTTTGGATATGTATATATGTCAGGACGGATAATCTGCCCTCGATCCGGCATCATTCTCCCTCTGGGTGGGACTGGTATCAGATAGAGTGCTCTCATCCGTGATACAGTCACTCTTAAGTCCTGCAGCTACAGTAACTCCTGAGGATAAGCATAGAATTATTCTAATTCTCTGGTCCAAAGGTCACAGTGAGTCCTGGTGCTTACACACACATTCAACTAAAAAAACTATATTTTTAAGGGTCTTTAAGGGCTCATTTCTCAATTTTCTATTACTGTGTCCTCAATTTTAAGCAGAGAATGTTCAGTATTTTAGTTTAAATACTGGTGGTTCATTTATAGTGATCGCCATCTGGAGTCCATTGTTGGCCTATTTCTGTCTTTTTTTTAATTTACCACTACATTACTGCCAAAAACTAGAGTTCACAATGAGGCTGCCTTTCATAATGGATGATCTCCCTCTGCAATGTTTGTCAAACTCCTACATTCAAAGAGACATGTCACTCGTATTTATATTTGAAACAATGAAACGATGAACAATCAAAAAGTATCAGAAGAAATGAAGGAAATGCAAGAATTTCAAGAAACATTTGCTATATTTACTATTTCCCCTGCTTTTACCTTTAAGTGGACTTTTTGTAGTAGAAATCAAATGCCCCTGATTGGCCACTGGGTGTCACCATTTCCCTGCAGTCAGACTCACATACTGAGGGTTCCTATCACTGTATTTTTCAAAGCTGAATAGTGTGTAGTACTGGCCTTGCTGCCTGCTTTCTTATTTTTTGTGTACTCTTACAAACCTTTCCTTAACAATCTTCTAAAAGGGAGGTGTCCTCAGTTTCGCATTAGTATGGAAACACTGCACCTTGAACCCCAGGATTGTGCAGACAAGTGTACCTTGTCTATGACTAGCAGTATGCAACATTAATGAGATTTCTAAATCATCAAGTGCTACCAACCTTGGTCTACACAGGATCTGTAATTAGGTTTCTTGTGAAGCAAACCATTTACCCATAGTTCATTATTCAGGGCAAAAGAATACACCTGTTTCTGTAAATATATCATGCAGAGGATGAACAACATCTGCGTTATGACCTACCTCATAGTGTAAAGCAAAGTGCCGTCATCCTTCAGCCTCAGCAGCTTGTTGGGCGTGGTCATGTTGTGAGCAATAGACTTCTTGCCGTTAAGGAAAAAGGTATCTGGGGTCCAGATGTTGCTGGCCAGCAGGTTGTTTAACGGCAGCATCTCCATGGGCCCTTTGAAGCACAGACGCTCGTCCTTCCAGCTCTGACGGAAGAAGACGTCTATGGTGTATTCCTGAAAGGCAAACAGCAAAAGACAGATTGAGCAACAAAGTGTTGCACATTTAGACTAAAGCAGTGAGAGCTAACTTTTTGGACGCAGAAGCCATATAATGTGATGTCAGTAAACTTCACACTGTTCTTATGTTGACCAATCTGGCTGCCCTGTGATCAGTTAATACCAAAAGATGGTGAAGGCGAAAGATCCTCCTCTGGCTGTGGTGTTCACTGCGTTTTAAGAGATGGTTATCATTTTCACTCCTAAGCTTCAGAACATCACTTCCTGTGCTGTTTATTTACCCAAAATAAGAATTTAAGTTACATAGGGTCTCAGTTTCTTTTTCTTGACTCTGTTGCAGCATCATTTTCTGTCTTAGATTTATAAGTTTGATGTACTTTTACGTAAATTTCTCTCCTAATGGAGCTTTAAAGGCTTATTTAGTGTTACAGAGAGAATACGTGCATTGAGAAAGAAAAGCTAATTTGTCTTCTTTACAATTGACTGCCAGTCAGCACAAAATGGTCAAACCACGTGCTTTGTATTACAGTAGTTTCTTCTTTATGCCTTTATAAGACGATTTTAAAGATATGATGATCAAATCCATCATAAATTTGCTCATGTGTGAAATATCGACTTAAAAAAAGAATGACCAAGAAACAAATACAATACTCCATCCCACAGAATAATGATGCTGTTAGCAGAGTGACATATACGCTTTTATGAACTGCAGAACCATTCAAATCTCTTGGCACATTTCATCAATCAATCGTGCCCCTCTGTCAATACCTTTTTTCAAGTCAATTATAGGAAAGTGGCAAGTTTGATCACTGCTGAGTCAAAGTGTGCCAGGGATATGACAGGGTTTAATGGAAGATTTAATGCAAGAGGGGAGTTAATGCATTTTGCTATCCAGGTGGAACCGTATAGTTCATAAGAGAATGAATTAATAGAGAGACGAATCGTTTGGAACAAGTTGGAAGGGCCCCGCCACATTGCATTAAATCTTAAAAAGTTTAAGTCATCCACACTCATTTCATTTACAAGTAACCAAAAAGAGCCAATTTTCAAAGACAAAACTAGGACATGAGTGAACTTCCAGGGAACAGCAGGAGCAGCAGCACCAGTCTCATGAAATGTAAATATATGTTTTCAATCTAAAAATACCAACAGTAGCCTGGGTGGGCTTTGGAGATGTGTGTGTTTGTCCAGCTTAGTCAAACTCTGTATGTGTATCTATGGTGTTTGCTGCAGATGAACTCACCATCTCTGTGTCAGACACCGGGCCAAAGCTGGTGACAAAAATATTCGTCTTGATCTCTGTGACATTCTCTGTTGAGAAAGCACAGGTGGAAATGTATGAGGTGAGGGGAGGTCAAAGAAAGGCAATGAAACACATTATAATCTCGGTACATTTTAATTGGACCAATATATTACCGATATTGGGTATTTTATGAAACTTTAGCCATCTGCAAGTTTATGTCTTCCCCAGATAATTGGGACATTCTTTGATGACACAGCTACACAACAAAAAAAATCCAGTTTTCTTTGTAGATTGTTTATTTGAAATGCTTATTGGTGTTTTTCCTAGGGCTGAAACTCAATTATTTTCCTCATCGATCAGTTGTTTAGTCTATAATATATCAGAAAATAGTGTAAAATGTCCACAGCTATTTTCCAGCGCCCAAGGTAACATCTTCAAATGTCTTGTTTTATCCAACCAACAATCTAAAACCCAAAGATATTTAGTTTACAATGATATAAGACAGCGGAAGGCAGCAAGCAACAATTAGTCGACTCTAGTTTCAGAGGCTTTTACACCTTGACAAATATGACAATCTGAAGAAAGACAAAATGCTGGTTCTTTATAACTTTGTGGCATGGAAACAATCAAATTCAAAGCTATTGAGAATATTTTGATCAATAAAGCCAGCGTTCAGTATCAATACTGGCATTTAAAAAACCCACATTGTGTTTTCTACTACAGAACAAACCAGCTCTCGCTCAGCATTCTGCACATTTCCATGAATTTCTCTCATGACGCATTTCCTCTGAAGATGTTTAGAAAATAGCTAGCACCTTATTTCTGTCATTTGTACCAGCAAAGCTAACAAAATCTCCTCTATGCATATTAAATTTGGTTCTGGCGAGCTGGGATTGGTTGTGCTGTGGAGAGCAGCTTGTTGAATGCTCTATAAAGGCCTGAATGTTTTTCTGATATGTATTTATAGGCCCTCTTGACAAGGGTAGCAACCGTTACTAGGATGTGAGAGCAGGCTTTTGCCATGACACATCAGGGAAATGAAAAAGCCTTGTTTCTACCTATTATGGGACAAGTGCTGTACATACGTGGAAAACAAAGTGAAGTGTCATGAGGATGAAATAAAAGAAATCAGTGGCATAAATGCACTAAGCGCTTTGCCATTGATGAAAGAGGTAGAGGAGTCACCAATGGCGAAAAAAAAAAGAAGAAAACCTTTCATTTCAATAGCCCCTTAGAAAAAAAATCTCCATCTTTGAATGGCAGTTTGTTGGCGCTCAAGGTTATCTCCTGTTGCCAGGGTGAGGAGCGTGAATAAAACACCACAGCAGACTGAATTTAGGCTAGAGATGTTGGAGATGGCTTGATTGATTTACTCTCTCAGTAACATGGCGGCGTACAAGGAAAGACCGCATGCATTCATGGTCCTTCAGAGCGAAACACAGCATCTGACAACATGTGTGTGCGTTCACCTTAGCTGACGTTAGCGCAACTTTCACATCTGCTTGCACAGTTTCTACCCCTGTATCTGCCAGTCTCCCAGCAATTTCTCCATGAATCAGTGCATGAAATCGCAGCAGGAAATGGGGCCTCTCATAGTAAGAGCTCAGGTTAGCAGGTTATGTTAGCACACTGGGAGGCTTTACTGTGGCATCATGATATTAGAATGTAAAATGACTCCCTTGTTTTCAAATAAGAGGGTCTGACTGTTGCATTTCCTAGGCTAAAGTGAGGAATAGGAAACGAAAAAAGTGTCTGAAGCGAACCTCCGAGCCCCGGCCGGAGCCTGTTGTCATAACCATCAAGGAGCCCATCCAGAATCCTGGTGAAAACTGTGCTGTTGTCGTTGGCGGCCGTCTCCTTCTGAGCCTCTGAGGAGGATAGGCAGAGGCTAGGAGAGGAGAAGAGAGGAAGGAAATGAGGAGAAACAACATCCTAGCATTAGTTAAACAGCAGGACGTCACACATGACATGGTTATTGTAATTAATTAGCTTGCTGCATTAAGGACAGTCTTGTTGTGATTAATTATTGAACATAAGTGCTGCTTACAACTACCAGTAGAGATAATTAAGATTTTGTCATGTGATCCAAATATAAACAAATGAGTTCCCCTCTAAATGTGTCAACAAGCAAGGCATTGTGTTTTGAGGATGAGCACATCCTTTGTGGCTAGAAAATGAGTGAAAATTACACAAGAACACTGTGTTCGTGCAGATATACCAGAGAGCAAGACATGCACAAAGGTTACAAGCTTAGATTTGAACATGGGATCTAAAGGCCATTGATCTAGTCTGATGAGAGTGGACTATTCCAGTGATTTACTGACAGCATTGCCAGAGATCTTTTTTTGCTTTTCTTGAGTGCAGGACAGCCACTTAAGCAGTGCTGTAGCAGAGTGCAGCTTGGATATGCGATCAATCACAACAAGGAGGGCAGAGCTGGCAGGAATCCTCAGCAAAAAATATATGAATATTCAAGTTTCATTTATTAAATTGCAGATGGAGCAATCAAAAACTGTGACAATACTGCTGAGTGCAAATGAAAATGAAAATTATGATTTAATACTATTAAATCTTTGACAACTTTAATACATTTTACTTTTATAATAAGACTACCAATGTAGTTAAAATAGCTTTATTTTGTGAGATAAATAGCATTACTCTTGAAATCCTGTAACTACTAGGGTTCAAAATGTTTGCATTAAGTGTTTCACATTACAAGATTAATTTACCTATTTTGGCACCCACACAGGAGCAGGAGGGAAATGACGAGCCTTGCCATGACTGAAATTCTGCTCACTTTGTTGTTTAGAGCTGTCACACACGTCCACATACAGACAAAGACAAAAAAAAGAATTTTGCATCACAAAATATCATAGCTCCTGCAAAAAGGGTCTAAGGAGCCTAACAAGGCACCTCAACTCACACAAAGAAACTCTTCACCCCGCTGCATACAGAGGTAGACTATTACAGGAATCACTAAATCAAGCGGTGGGACAATCTCTGCTCAGTGAGGCTGCAACTGTTTAACATCCAAAACATCTACATCACAGGCTTCACAGACATTATAAAGGCTGGTAGCTTATATCATAAAGAAAAGGCATATGGCTAAAATAGGAAATTGTTTTCTGCAGTATGATCCCCATTGTGTCAAGCGCATTACAATTCATACGGGCCAACCCCCCTTCCCCATCTCCTCTCCTCTATCCTCTCCTCCATCATCACCTTTTTCCACTCTCTCCATCACCAAAAACATGAAACTCATTCTCATCCCCATTCCTATTAGCCATGCTGTGTCTAATAATGTAAAAAACAGAGTAGGAAAAGGGGGGCTACCTGAATGCAGATCCATCACCACCAAGGTTTTTTTTATTTATTTATTTTTGGCCTTTTTTCCCCAAACAGCGACCGGGGCTGGGGGGTCTCCGTCGGTGGTGTTGAAGCTGGATGATCACGGGTTCAGTCACCTAATCCCGGTGCTTGTCGGTTGTCTCCCCTTTAGCTTCTCCACCATGGGCTACTGCTGCTCTCTCTCTCTCTCTCTCTCTCTCTCTTTCTCTTTCTCTCTCTCTCTCCCTCTCTCTCTCTCTCAATCAGCGGTCCCCCATCAGGCGGTGTTGTAGTAGTCTGTCTGGTCTTCTCCTCCTATAGGCTACACCGCCTTCCTCTTTCAGTGCCTGCTGCACCGCGTCTCCTGCATCGCCTCCAGAGGTGTTGCAGCAGCAGCAACAGAGGCAGCAGCAGCATTACACGGGCTGCCTCCTCGGTCTTGTCCGCCAGCCTCCGAAGAGAGTGAATTCACTCCACATTTTTTTCCGTCTCTTTTGCTACACCGCCTACTGCCGGTCCGAGAGACTGAAGTGCTGCAACGGAGGCTAATAATTTTAGAATAGGTGCTTCCTATTGGTGGGTTGAGAGGAGGAGGCGCGCTTGCAGTGTAACTGAGGGGGGGCGTGGGGGTCAGATGTTAACAAAATCAGGTGCGGTGGTTTTAAGCCCCATCTCTGAATACATCAACATGCTTTATCGATAAATTAGGCAAATAAAGAAGCACATATTAGCGGTTCCCACCGTCTTTTGTCAGCATGGTCTGATGAAATTCAAGTATCCTTTGAGCCTATACCTCTCATGATCTAAATGTGTCAATTGGTTTTTAACTGGGTGTTACTTAATACTAAAGCAATAACGTTTTCTAATGTTTACAGGTGTGTTTGGTCAGTTACATCAGTAGGCTATTAGCACGTGGAGTTGCAGAAGCTGGACATTTATCCGTTAGTTTAGGTATATTTCAATTATTTATTATTATATATAATTTATTATTTAATTTATTTTTAGCTTTAGGCTTATATTTACATTTAGTCATATTTTAACTAAACTATTAGTGACGTTGGGTTATATTCAAACCATTTCAACCATTACTTTGAGCTAACATTCCCCACTGTTCAATACTGTTAGCTAACAATTTCCACCATTTATCCAATACATTTAACTCTAGAAATTTCAACTATTTAACCGATACTTACAGATAATTATTTCAACTGTTTATCAGTTAATTTAGCAAGCCATTTATCAGTGTTTCGATTGTTTATCCATTACCCCAGCGTCTATCTACTTTTAGCGATATTCATACTTCTGTTTTAGCTAACTGTTCGGTTGTTTACTCATTAGCCACGTTTAGCTGACTATTATTTCAACCAGTTAAACTTCTTACCTTGGTAGACGTCTCTGCTAGCTTGCTTCTTATTTATTTGTTTGTTTATTTAGCCTATTTATTTAGTTCATTTCAAATTAGCTGGGCTAATGTTAGTTACTCCGTTTACCGTTTTCCATGTAGTCTGCCCCCTGGCAACAGAAGTATCCCCTGGCAACAGAAGTACGCCCCTGGGCTACAACTACCCCTGGTTTTGACTCGCAGGCACACACAACTATAAAATGTTCAACTCTGATAGACTGCCACAGAAAAACCCAGATAAGATATAAAATAGCAGCATTGTAGGTTGTTGATTATTAAATCAATAAATTAAAAAAATTAAAACATTAGTGTGCAGGAGTCAATAAGTTTTGCTCCTTCTGTTATGTTACTAATACATTTGTATAGCCTGTGCGGAGGGGGTTGGAGTCCACCAACCATGTAATGAGGGCGAGAAGCTATTTGAGACTTAGTGAGTTAGAGATGATACAACACGTGCAGTCATTTTTTTTATCTTGGCATGATTTTGCATACTGTAGGTACTGTGAGAACAACTGTGACAAACCAAAGTCGTTATCATCCTGAAGGTTGCCATAAGAGGGTAGCCGAGCTCCATGTTTCGTAGACGGTATTTAGTTTCTGATATTTAACCTCCTTCCACTTTCTTCAACCCATGTGGAGATGCAGTCTGTGGACGGGAGCTTCAGCCAGGAAATGTAGGAAAACACTGGTCTGCCCCGTCAGGAGCCTGATTTCAGCACCACGCCTGGTGCGGAGAGCTCCCGTGGAGTGATGGTCGGCTGGACAGGAGAATAAGTGAAGCAGAAAAATAGATCCAGAGGGGTGTATGGATGAGAAGGTGGGGGGTGGGGGTGTCCCAGAGGAAATAGAGTGCCTTTCAATACTTGCCCTGCAGGCATCCCACTGTTTTAGATCCCTGTTTCACTGCAGGCCACTAAACTGGGTAGAAACACAAACGACACACACCACACCGATCAATAACCCCACATAACAAATCAGGCATGTTTGAACAAATAAAAGTCCGTTCAATTACGTGGAAACACGAAACTTGAGTGGAGTATCTTCCCCGATGATATGTGTGTTTATGTTAATGAATAATCACCCGCCTTTTAATTTACCTTCAGTGTTTTCATTGGCTAAAAGCTGTTTTATCATTACTGATGTCATCCTCCTTTTCTTTCAGGAATGCTGTTGACGGAAACAAGAAGCTGTTCGCCATCTATGACACGAGGTAGGAATTGTCACAACAACACACACATTATTCATTAAGGAGCTTCTCCAACTGTGTGTGTGTGTGTGTGTGTGTGTGTGTATATATATATATATATATATATATATATATATATATGTATGTGTGTGTCACGCGCACACGCACGCGGTCCCAATTATCCACGGAATTTCTGACATCGACTCCAATATTTCTCAAACTAAATAATTGATAGTGGAACCATTCATTTTAGATAAGGAAAAGAACCCATTATAGACGATTAACTGGCTAATCAATCACAATCATCGATTAACGGGCTGATAAATGCAGCCTGTTCCTAGAGCTATATTGTTCAGGTCCCGCCATTTTTATAGGAAACGCAGGGGAAGGGGATTGGCGCAGATGGTGTGAGGAGCACTGTAAAAAATGTCCATTTTAATACGGCAATATGTTTTAGTATTAAGGCTTAAAAATACTTGATTAAGCTCAATTCTAACTATCATGCCTCTTTCAAGAATTTCTGCCATAAGAAATAAAGCAAAGTGGAGAAGGTCACATTGCTTAATTATTGATTAAATCATTTCAATTAAAACAAAAATACTATGTGAAAATAAGAGCTAGAGGGAAGTGAAATTATTAATTAAATAATTAGCAATGATTAATTCTACTCATCCTGTGAAAACAGTATAGCCTATCTTGTACTCTGTGGCTCTGAAGGGAAATTTTTACAATCTGAGAGAATGATCCTGATGATGTCAATAAAAAATGACCCTGTTGATGTCATCAGACATCGTTTTGAAACGCTTGAGACTTCATATGTTTCACTAAAAACCTCTGTTACAAATCTGGACATTTACTTTTCAGGGAGAGTCTAATCAAAAGATGCCACTGAGTTCAGTGAGTTCAATCTGTTTTTGTGAGTTCCACAACTTATTGAAAATGCATTGATAAAATTGCTGCAGTGACCCTTTAACACCCATACTCTACTCATTAATAAATAGACAGATGGTTTATTAGCAGCGCAATTAAAAAACAAATTCATGAACAGCTCAAAGTTAATTTGCATTAGAAAGAATCTGAAACTGATCTTTAACCACATTCAAAATAAGAAAAAAAATACTGCAAATAAAACCCTGCATGCACAGACTATGCTGCAGCTACTGGTGGGTATTTTTTACAGTGTGTAAGTGTTGGGCTTCGTCGCTCATTTGAACAAACCGAGTGCCTTCACCGCCACCAGCAGCAGCATCCCCCTGAACGCCCTGCTCATCAATATGCGCTTCAGCTCCTGAATGTAAGAGCCTCTTGCACAGTGAGAGACGGCAAATAAAAGCGGAGCCAGTGTTCATGCCAGGGAGGCGATGTCAGCCCATATTTAATATCTGACTCCATCCACATCAAGCCGCTGACTTTTTTCCAGCCCTTCACTCGACTTTCTCCTTTTGGGCAATCAGTGGATTTACTCTGATCTGAAGAGCGTCCGGAAACGTCTGTTGATTGGGGGGGGGAAGCTCTTTGCTGTTGTTGTGGCTGTAAACAACGAGAATAAAAGAGAAAAGGAACAAGAAAAAAGAAAAAGAAAAGGTGATGTTTGGTTTGCAAAGGGTTCGTCAATTCCGCGTCTTGTCCGCACTGGTTGTCGGTTCGATTGTGTGTTGCGCGAAAAGGTGAGTGCTTTTGTCGTTTTTGAGAAGTCAAGGTTATTGCCCGGGCTGATTGATGCACGAGTCAAGGTGATGTTTCCCTCTTTTTCCATTTCAGCGTCAATGAACCGGGCAACATGTCTTTCGTGAAGGAGACTGTGGATAAACTGCTGAAAGGTTATGATATCCGACTGCGACCAGACTTTGGAGGTATGTGCCGTATTTACCCCCCATTTAATCCTCCTTCACGCCGTAGGCAGGCAGCTTTATTTTTGGCGCCATTCACAGTGTTGTGGTCAGGTGTAGAGGTGTAGGCCTATATACATTATCTGCTGTTTAACCTCTTCCAGGGGCCCCTGTTGCAGTCGGGATGAGCATAGACGTGGCGAGCATAGACATGGTGTCAGAAGTCAACATGGTGAGTGAATTTACATCACATAAAAGCTTGTTTCTCTGTGTTTAGTGGACTGTATAATGCATGCAGTCCTGTCTCTGTCTCTGTGCTGATATACACAAATGTGTGGCACTCATACAACATGATTTCATAGCTTACTTGCTGGTAGGAAGTGCTGATGTAAAATCCAGTTTTTCCCTCTGAAGCCATTATGTGATGCTGAGATGGATGGGCTGGGTTTCCTGTAAGCAATAAAACATCTTTATCTCACTCACACTGCCCGCACAGAGTTACCATACATACACCCAACGCTCAGCCCGGGTGTGAAAAATAAACAGAATACAGCCTCCAGCTCCTGTTTCCAACAATGCTGATCCTCAGACAGCAGCACCGACTCACTTAGACCACAATTAAAGCTGGAACAGTGGTTTCACGATCAATACAGTCCGCATACGATGCATATGCACTACACAGACTAAAGGAAAACGTACGCTGTTAATGCTGGACTCTCCAAATCGACAGCCAGGAGAAACCTTAGCTCTCAATTTGCTCTGCTTGTTAACCTCTGGAGCCGCAGTTAACAGTGTTTCAGGAGTGTCCACCCAGGAGGCCCTCTGAGCAGACAGCTATCAGGGAACTCTGATTGGATTTGCTAATTCGTGAGCCGGATGCTGTTTGCCCCGACGTTGACACGTGGACGCACATGCAGGAAAGTAACTCCAGGCTATTCTATCTTAAAATATCAGTCGACGATGACCCAAATTGCACTGGAAACAAGTGACACTGTCTCGCCCCCATTGGCTACATTTTCAGTTCTTTAGCAGAAAAATAGGCTTTTTAAGGCTCCAGCTCCACACTGACTGGTGGACATCGCTTGTAATTGGTCTGGATCCAGGCTTTGACACCCACAAGCCGCAATGGCTGAGTCCAGATCAACACCTCTGCTCTTTCACGGGCCCATTGATTGTGTAGGTGTAACCATTATGACTTTTATTAGACACGCTGGCTGCTGAAAGTCACCATGAGGAGTCAAATTCAGGTCAGCAGCAGTTTACACCTCGACCATCCACTCAGGCATCATCACAGTGCATAGAACATCATTTCACACGTATAATGTCTGGTCCTTATTATGTGTCTGGTGGGTGGTGTGTGGGCGGGTGTTGATCAATACTAATGACTCAATGATTACTTCACCAGGTGATTCCTGGCTTTGAAAACTGACTTGCCAACGGGTGCTTTGAGGCAAATGCTGTTGCTGCCTAGATGATGTTTCATAGCAACGTTTGATTTGAGAAAAGTGCTACCTTTTCTAGCGTACATAATTTGCAACCGTTTTTTGATGATTGATTAATTAATCATTGATGTAATTTTTCAAAAAAAAAGACCAAACATTTCCAAATTCCAGCTTCTCAAATGTGAGGATTTGCTCGTCTTATGTGACAGTGAATTAATGATGATTAATAATGATTAATGATGTTAAGGACTGATGATGGGACAAGATTTTTGCTATTGAACAACATCAGCTTGAGCTTTCTGACGTTTGTTATGGTATATTTTCATTTTTCTAGGTTTGAAACTGCTGATTATTGTCATTATCAATTAATCCATCCATATTTTTTTCTATTTACTCATGAATTGTTTAGTCTATAAAACAGGACACACTTACAGAGGAAGACCTTGATTGGGGGAAACACATGTGAAAAGCTTAAACTAATATATAAAGGAGCAAATGAGTGCAAAAAATAACATATGCTGTTTCTAACAAACGTGTCCTCCATATTCATCTTTCCAATGTAGAAACTTGTTTGTAGGAGTTGCATCAATATGGGGCTAGAAACCTTAGTTGTGAAGGTTCACAGAATTATTTTTCTAGAAATCCATTGGATAACACATAAGGTTTAGTTTGCATGGACTGCTGTCATGCAGTGATACAAGGTTAAAGAGTAAAGCGTAGTAAAGCGGACATATGTTAGGTATAATACAACATCTATTGCTCTAGCTGACCCTTCATGATCCACGCTGAAAGCTTTGTTTGTCAGTTCAGCCGCTAACATTAGCTAGCAAGCCGAGCGGTCTAGTCTCCGCAGAGCAGATGAAGGCAGATGAAGAACAAGGGAGTCAGACAGCTGAGATCACAGTCGAACCGATAATTAATTAGGTCTATTTCTCATTGCCACCAGTGCACTGAGGGACTGCACATGTGCGTCTGTGCATCTGCACTTGTTAGATGGACAATTCCTGGGTGTCATCCAGCGCCGGAGCCAAAACAAGACTGGTCAAGCTGTTTGTTTATGAACCAGTGTTTGACATTTAGTGGGTCCTTTTCATCCAGTACTGGGAACCGTCTGCGTTTTTTTTTTTTAGCATGGGGGTTGCTCCAGAGGGAACTGGATAATGAGTGCTTTTGTCCTGACAGTGACAGTGCCATGCTTCATCCATTCAGCAACACTAAACAGCACAGCCCAGATAAATGCTGCTCTCTCTGTTTCTTTTTTCAAAGAACACAATTTCCAAGTCGTCAGGCACCATTCTGCATTAATTTCAAACATTTCAGCTACTAAATCCACTCGAAAGCCTAGTAGAACAACCCACAGGCATAATTGAGAAACTAGTCTTAAAAGTTGAGGGTTTATTGAGACAAGGAGTGCTTGTTATACTGAAATGAGGCCTGGACTGGATCTTACTCTGCAGGTGAAGAAAGAATTAGTAACACCAAATTTTAGACTTGAGGTCACTTCCTCTCCTTCTCACGAGCACCTGACGCACCTTGTTAAGAAAAGGGTCGTTTCCATCCAGAGGTTGGACTGGGATTTAATGTTAACATCCAAGAGAATGCAGATAATTAGTGCAAAAGGTTACGGTTAGTCATTGACTCTTGACTGTTAATATCTGCATGCGAATGTGCAAATCTGTATTAGAGAGAATATAAAAGACTGACTGGCTGATTTCTTGTAAGAAACATCTTTAGATGCTTTTTGAGGTTAATTAGGGTTTATTGGGGACTGTACACAAATATTTTAGGATTCCTTTGTGGGATTAATAAAATGAAATGAAAAAAAGAAAGAGCTGCCAATGATGACTCTTTTCCATATGCACAAGACAACAATCCTGTCTCCATGTAAAGTCATTAGGGTATTTTTTTTACTATAGATGACTGTCTTTAGAGTTAAAATTCAACCTTTTATTGTGTATTTCTGTATTAAGATAAGAGAGTGGCAGCGATGTTCATCATTTCATTATGCTGGCTAATTTGGAAAGTGCTAATTTAACCTCTAATGGCTAATGTGGTGGATAATGTTAGAAGTATTATTCCATGTGAAGAGTGCATTTCACTCCCACTCATGATGTTTTAAAAAAAAACAAAACAAAGAGGCTCCAAATTGATTAATTCCACACACTCTTCTTCTTTGTCAAAACCGGCACTTCAGCAGTCTGCAAGACTCCAGATTTTGATTGTAAATTATTAATGATAATTATTGACTAGATTTTGAGATATTAAAGTGGGGGTCAAAAGAAATAATAATGGTGCGTGTTGTTTTGTAAAAAGTGAAATATAAGCCTCAACCCCACCTCAACACTTTGTGTACACTCCCTGAAAACCTATGGAAACTTCAGATGTGGACCTGTTCTGCCTCACACTACTCCTGACTCTTATTCTCACCTCCACTCTGATTTTATTTCGGTGTGGAGTAGGAGTTCGTTTCATCAATCCATGCCAGAGCTGAAGGTGGTCTTTGCAGCTCTATTATCTCTGGGAATTTCACTGGACACAACACTCGGGCAGATCAAGAGACTTAGGAAATAAAGTGGAGAGAAGGAAGATAAGGTCTAAAGATTTATTGAACCAGAACCAAACAGAAAAGAGCAGAGAAAGTGAGAGAGAGAAATCCAGGGAAAAGAAAAGGTAAGGGAGAGGAGGTGGTTACTGCTCGAAACACCCCACGAGCTTGCGAGACAGCAAGTGAATAGAGCATCTGTCTTGTCCTAGAACCCACCTGGCAGGGCAGGTCGACTAAGTCGGTTTCTGCCACTCTGACGCCTTCGCAGGGCGCGAGCTCCTGCACGAGCAGATGCTAAAGCGTCTGAGAAAGGCGCACTAATTACCTCTGAGGTTTGTTTGTAGTGTGCCGGGGGCCTCCGCTGATGAGAAACACATACTAGGACAAGATCAGAACAAGGCAAGATAGATTACTTACTTACTTGGAAAGTAGTTGTAGACTTCAGAATGAATGGATCGCCTGGAAATGTGTCACTTGTTAGTGCTGTTTTGGAATGCTAATCAGAGAAAGGAGTTTTTTAAAAGATGTTTTGATATTAGAAAAATTTAATTTAATGTCAGGTTCGGAGGTGGAAGTGAGCGTAGTGCTTGCCTGCATTCAAAATGTTTTGAAATACTGTTTTTTAAGAAAGTAAGTGCAAAACAAGGGCACCATGTGTAGGTGTGTTTTCATTACCACGGCCTTCTCTTGAAATGGACAAACAGACGTGATTCTCTGTTGCAGTAAGAGCCTTTATCCCAGCCCATTATCAGTGCCTCGTGAAGGTCGTCATCATTTTTGAAAATTAAATTACGGCACAATGAAGGTAGAGCTACTCTCACAAGGGGAAATGGTCAGAGCCTGTACTGTCAGTGTAACAGGTTGAACAAGCTAGTCATCCGTACACCCACAGCTGTGTGTGGGTGTTAAAAAGAAAAGAAAAATCTGTCATTATGGAGAGGTGAAAAGATCTCTCTCCATCTCTCTTTCTCCAAATGTTCCTGCTGCCTGCTTTGTTTGTTTTTTCAGATCATAGCTAGTTGTTAGCTTTCCTTTGATTTCTTTGCCTTGACCTGTGTGTTTCCATGTCTCAGGTAATTCACATGCGGATTTCTGCTGAATGACATGAGGATGATTTTATTAGGTGTCAAATTTCAAATACGCAACCTGATCTGAACCCAGTTGTGCCGTAATCGCCAACAACATCCATATCCTGCATCAAATGAATCTTGGAATCAGAAATTGCCAATGCACTAACTATGTCAC